AACGGTCGAAAACTTTTTCTACTGTAAATAATATTGAACAAAAGTTTGAACGTATCTACCTGCAAATATAATCTGCGAGTCTTAAAATTCGTAGGYGGATAAATGGCTTGAAGTAAAAAACTTTACGATATCCATATTTCTGTATATATATATAATAACGAACCAAACTAAATGTAATAATAATAACATATAAACTAAAAAGTAGAAAAGTTCAATTTTGATTTCAAGATAAATAAGAATCGTAAGCAATACGATCTCACTGCACGCGATTTTCRTGTTTTTAACGAATGTCCGCGATAACAAGCTATATTATAATTCCATAGGTACGTCATAAATTTAATACCTTGCGCCGTCTGTTAAGCTGTGGGCACTGTAGGTACTAGGTACCTACTCATTGCAGCGTTAATTTTAAGAATACGTGATTTGGTTTTCGGCAACACTGACGCGTCGGATCCCATTCGGCATATTATACATGATGTTGTGTATTCCATGTTTATTATGACTTGATTTTCAGTACGATTTAATAGGTATCTTAAATCGTGATTTCCGCAGGTATCTATGCGTTAAGTATTTTCTGATTACCACCGACCAATGATAATATCGACCGATTGATGTGCTCATATTTCATGTTGCATTCTAAGTCTTAAAATATTTTGTTATTTTAATAATTCGGCAACAATAATGTGAATTGTGATCGACTGTTTTCATTAGCAAACTAATTTCCTGAAATGATTTGTTCTGGAATCAAACAATATATTTTGTATTTCTATACTAGACATCTTGCACATCGCCGTACATCATATTACCATTATTGGTAATCGCGTAGTACAATTGTATGGCTAAACATACATTTTAATATTACCTGCAGTAAGTAAGACTTAACRGACGACTGACGGCATACTCCGAAGACGACTAAAACGGACGGACTCTTCGTTCCGAATAGAAATAGTGAAGTATTCGCAACGCTTTTGAAATATTTTGTAAGTTCCGATCCGAATCCCGGATGTATTATGATGTCTTCAGAACTATAATATTCAGGTAAGTGGTATAATTGTTTTGAATCGGTTTCGYTTATGCGCACTCATTTGTTAGCTGTTGGTTTTCGTATTTACCTATATTACCTATATCAAATGATAACAGACATGGGTAATATAATATGTAATAATTGTCATGCGAACGTTATTATACTCAGTATATTAGTTTACCATCGAAATATTATRTTGTGATACGGATGTCATCATCATCCGCATTGCGCGAGTCGGAAGAATAACATATAAAATATATATGGTGAAAAAACAATATTATAAAAACGTGTTCTGTCTGATTCCAGGAAACCGACGGGATGAGTTCTAGAGCGTCGGACAGCGGCGCAGAGTCTAGCGGATCCGAATCACCGCCCCCCGCAGCAGCCGGTCCAGCCACGCGGTCACCGCCGTCGCCGTCGCCGCTGACGTCCTCCTCGGCAGCGGCAGCATCAGCAGCCACCGCGTCTCCCGGTAAGTACCTATATGCCCGTAGCCAACGGGTTCTATTATTATTATTATTATTATTATCATTATTATTGTTATACTCTTGGTCGATTTTTTTTTCTACCGTCCTCTTCCTATCTCTTTCGATCTCTCTCCCTCTCTGTCTCTCCTCTTGCGTATATATATCCGCCGTCCGTTCCCGCGCACGTTTCGTATCATTATCGGTTCCGGACCGGATCCTTTTACGGAGGGCCGTCCGCGACGACGCGAAAATAATAACGAAAGAAAAAACGAGACGGAGAAKAATAATATTGTCGTGGAAATAAAAGAAAAAAACTAAATCGGCGGCTGTGTCTTGCGCGYGCCGCGCTTGTTGTACAGCTAGGTATATTATATAGTTATACGACGTACGTTTATTGAATAAAATGCACTTTACTGAAGCTAGACTGCGTGGCATCTTCCGTTCCCGTTTAGCCGTTTGTCACGTCGTCACCGTCTCTCTTTCTCTCTTTCGGAGGGAGGGGGGAGGGAACTTACACCGCCAGCGTCGCCTCTGAGACAGGAAGTGTACCGGAAACGGTCGCCGTCGCTATCGTTGCGCGTATAGTTACAATATATCCTCTTTGCGGTCACGTGTTTGAATTTTTTTCACACGTTTCCATAAAGAGAGTTTTACACGGCTACTGCAAAAACACGATGAAAAAAATGGCAAAATTTACTGAAAAATTATCTCGGCGACGCGCTTACATCATAATAATATTTGCGGACATTCTATTTAAGTATTAAAATATAAATCTATAATCTAAATTATGTCTCATTTGAGTATTGCATGGTCGTAACATCGCTCAAAAATAAATTTTACTTAAATCATTTTAAATTAAGTTTTTTTAAGTTTATTAAAAGACTTCAACAACACAGGTTTTACACCCGTATTTAAATCAAAAGTTAAACAAGAAAAAGAATATTATATACATTGCATTTTAGTATGAATTTTACTACATTGTTATTATTATTATTGTTTACAATAATGGATAGTTTGAGCTTATAATATTCAGGAATAATGTACGGATTGCAGCTGTGATCTCTTCTTTAAAGGCTTGGTGGAGTGAAATAGGATTTTTAAGAATCTCGCGTGCTCCGATGTATTTAGGGCAGGCGATGACTATGTGTTCAATTGATAATATTTCGTTGAAGTAAGTGTCACATATTGTAGCTGGTTATTTTTTGATGGGATTGCCACGAGTTAAGCGAGAATGGCCTATTTTGGTTCGAGTGACGGTTACTTCCTCTCTTCTTTTTGTGCCGGCGGGATAGTTTAATTTCTCAACGAATAATTTTGTATTTTTCAGTTTGTCAGTGAGGGGTAGATTTTCTCAAAAAATTTGGTATTCTTCTATTATTTTCCGATGGATTATGCCGAAAGTTTCAAATGAGGAAGAAGAGTTGATTGGAATGGATTKCGGAGATATAATGTGGGTTTCATAGGCTGATGTGTCTGCTTTTTCGTTTCCTGGTATCCTAATGTGTGAGGGGAAATTCAAATAATATCATTGAAAATTCTAAATTTGTTACCGTGTAACAAATAATTTATATTATACTTACTATCATAGTACCTTGTTTATATAAAAGTTATATAAAATGTTTAAGATAATTTTTAAATTTTAATTTAACCCTTATATTGTTTAGTCATAAAAATCAAATAACACTATATATTATTAGTACCTAAATGTATTGTTACTTTTCAACCTTCGTTCTTTTAAAAAACCAATTATTTATTGTTTATATTTCAAGTAACTCGCATACCTTAAATCTCAACCTTTTTGTTTATATACGCTCTTGAAACGTGGTCATATGCTATTTTACCGCTATCGGAGTTCAATATTTTATCGTCGTTTTAACATGTACAAGTGTACAGCAGTTGATAACTACAAATGTTGTTTTTCAGCCGACGAAACATAATATTGCGTTTATCATAGTTTATTAATTCTGTATTATTATAATATTACTATACTATATTCTAAATGACGACGGCGATTTCGATAGGCAAACTAAAGGCACGTTCAACGGGCACACGTGGACAAGCGCAGCAATGCCGCGTGTACGTATTATACGTGCGCGTCTGATAAATTTGTGTATAGTAAGTCTCTTTGGTTTACGGACTTATAAAAACCGTGTCCGCCACCTGCTGCTCGTCGATATATTGGTTAAGTCATTATTGTTACGCCACAAATTAGCCTAATCATCGGCACCGCATTGTGTGCGTACGTTGTCGGTTTTGGTAATGTTTGGTTAATCTGTCTTCTGTCTCCTGTCTCCTCTCTCTCTCTCTCTCAGTCTCGAACGTACACCAGTGTACCCACATCGTGTGCGTCCCGTGCTTTTCGACATAGCTTCTCCTATACTTTTTCTTCTTGACGTTACATTCCACGATGACTGGGCGGTGATTTTCCACCGGATAACGYGTGACAATATAATAATAATATTATGGGTATATTGTCAACGTCTGCCGAATATACCGGGCGATGGTGGTCGCGGTGATGGTTCTTTTGTGATTAACCTTGAACTTTATACATCGGGGCCTCGAATYCATCTGAATCTGCATGAATATTATATTTGAACACAGGTTACAGAAGTTTGGGAGAAAACCACGGTTTCATATAGGTAATTCAAACAACGATCACATCAAAATGTGCTGTCGAAGAGTCTATAATACAGCAGTTACGTGAACTACAAATAAAACGTCAGTATATACATTAGATTTTTTAAATGGTGAACAATGGTTAACATTTTACGGTGAATTCTGGTATAATATGTTGATAATTTTTATTTTATTACCGCAAATATAACGCTAAGCTTAATGTCAATTTAAAATAAAAATAAAATAAATAATGATTATCTAAAAAAGAATAACAAACTGCTATAATTGGTGACTTATAATACGCATGTATACTCGAATGATAACCTCAATAATGTATCCATTTAAATATTTATATCCACCAATTGTTTTGAAACCGTTTAACCGTTTACATTTTTTGAAAATATTATTTTTCATAATTCGATATCATT